TGATATTGTGTAAAACCTGTTTTGGTGCTTAGGAGTGTACTAACCATTAATGTGTCTGCTGCATGCTAAATAAATATGTCTTCTCTTCGCTTGAGTTGCTTTACTTCTACTGGCGCGGATGTCTTTGTTTTAAACTATAAACGCTACACTTAATAGCTATAAACAACGCCAACACTATAACGCCAGATTCATGAGTGAATTTATTTACACACTTTGTTAACACACATGACACATAACATTCCAACATTCAATCCCTTAGTCAAGGGGACTAATCTCCTTCTCTTAGAGAACAAAAACGCATGTCCTTCAAGTCCTTCCTCTCTGAGGACCAGGTCACTACTGCTCGTCTGACCACATTGGCAGATCCAGACCGAGACTTCAACTTCCACGTGCGAATGGCACGCTTATTTTTTGTGTGACCACAGTTCACGTCGTGTCACAGTGATTCTCAAACAATGCTATGACATATGGCCAGCATCATTTCGGACACGTATGAAACCCATTGTGTGACTATCACTACTCTTTATAGTAGCTCTTTAAGGACTAAATACCCCCCCAAAAAAAACATTGTGTTTTTTTTCCCTCCTCAGATGAAAGTGTGGTAGACAATGGAACAGCAGACGATGGTTCTACAAGTAAGTGAATTTAATAGCTTTTACATTTTTCAAGCGTTTTCAGAGTGATCATTGCAATCAAATTATTTCAAACTACCCCCCCCCCCCCCAACTCTTCAATAAACTTTCACTGAATTCCATGAGTTGGGTTTTGTTTTTTTTTTTACTTTAAAAGCTCCCTCCTCAATTTAAAGTCCATGATCATAGCAAAGAGGGGTTTTGAGGTTAGTCCCATCCCCTTTTCACTAGCGGATCCAGAACTTTGGAGTGGGGGGGGGGGGGCGAATTTTTTCCAAACCTTAACCCTAACGCCAAAAAAGGACCTTTTGAATAATGTTGTACTTGAAAAATATTCTAATATGAATTTATAGGTCCTAAATACGTTGCAAATAAAACCGATTTGTTCCTTGAAAAGATAAGATACCCCACATATTTAGATTTTGGCTTTGAGGATCGCCGCCGAAAAAGAAATTATTCGATAAATAGTATTCAAGAAAATGGAAGTATAAATTGTGAGTTATAGTCCCAAATTTATTTAACTAGAAAAATATCAGATTGAGTAAAGGTTGGGAAAAGGCGACTAAGAAGATATTATTTGAGTTTAGAACTCATCTCAATCATGAATCTTTTACTGAAAAATTTCGTTTGAATTCTAACTTTTCCAATGCAAAGTCTTTCTTAAAATAATTATGATTAATTCATGTGAAAATACAAAAACTTTGTCTGGAAATGGGAGGGGCGGTAGAGTGAAAACGATTAATCCTCGCTCCTTTAATTATTTCTGCTAAAGATTGCATTTAGCATTAAAGAATAGGGGTGGGACGACTCGATATAAGAATTTAATTCATAGTATATATATAGATTATATTAGTGCCAGATTTTTTAAATTGTGTAATTTCTTAACTATAATACAAAAAGAAAAAGTATTGATTTATCCGATGGGGGAAATGCGATTGCATGTATCGCCCCTCCCACCTGGTACAACCCTTTTTCATTTAAATTTACTAATGATACCATTTGAGATTAGAGTGTGGTAAGACATAATATACAAAGGGTCACATATCAATACGTAGTTTATATTATATAGATATTTAAGTAATTTTGTTCACAAACTATGATTCTCCAAAAAAATAGGACCGCCCCCCCCCCCAGCACTCAGAGGGCTAGAGTGGAAAGGGCAGTACATGCAATCGCCCTACCCCCTACCCCACCTAATCGGCCAAAATACCAGAAAGGGAGCGACATAATATAAAATGTATATATTAATTCATATATATATATATATATATATATATATATATTTAACATAAGTAATAAATTCGTATACAAATAATTGTGTGAATTCTATAATAAATTTCGCCGAGTGGGGGGGGGGGGACTATCGCCCCTACCGCCCCCCCCCCCCCCCCTGGATCCGCCAGTGCCCCTTTTCCAACAAAAGGAAAAAGCAAAGCTACAAATACTAAATTTCATGAGTGTAGCCAAGAGGGGTTTTGGGGTTATCCTTGCCTCCTCCAATAAAAAACTACAGTCAAACTATTGTGTTCAATTTCTACCAGTCGTTGGGTCTCATTAATGAAAAGAAGTGCAGATTCATTTTTTTTTTGTTAGAAGAGTTGCAGGATAATAACCTTCAGAATGTGCATTTTTTAGTTTTAAATACCGGAAATACTGCATGAGCGTAGCCAAGTGAGTTTTGAAGTAAAAACATCTACAATTTAAAAAACTAAAGGAAAAATACAGTCCTAAATTCGAAGAGCACAGCCAATAAGGAGGTTTTGATATTAAGACTTCTCTTACAACCTCTGGATGGCTGTCTGGTCGTGCGGTTTGCGCGCTGGATTGTCGTTTGGATTTATCGACGGTCGAGGGTTCAAACCCTGCCCGCTTCCATCCCCCGTCGTCCTGCGGGAGGTTTGGACTAGGAAGTAAACTATCTTCAACTCTGAAGGAACATCCGAATTATGTAAAACAAAACATTTTACAATACAAAGAAAAAAGCTAGAGTCACTAAATTACATGAGAATAGCTTATATCCATTGCCACTTCCGGCAACGATAACCTGCGGGAACCATAAAAGATGCCTTTCAACGACATATAAAATCCTTAAAGACAATTTGCCCCCATTAAATCAGTTCTGGACGCGAAATGATTGTCTCCTTTATATTAAGGTTAGAACAGGGTTATTTAAAAATTCATTTATTCCACTTTTGTCTGAGGTTTCAAGCTCAATCATCGACACAGATTCTAAAGATAAGAGCCTAATTCATCAAGCGCTGGTTCGGTGTGTCTTTTTCAGTTGTGTGTATGTTAGCATTCACTTCTATGTTTTTATTGTTATAGTAGTATTGCTCGGTTGGAGTTGGAGTCTAACTGAATTCCCATCTGTTTGGAATAAAATTATTTGTTCTAAAAAAAAATTATCCTATCTTTTAACAGTGACTTCCAAAGGGGAAGAACGCATCCAAGTCTGGATGGTATATCTAGTTGTGGCAGGGGCAGCACTCACCACAATCACGCTCTGCTTTTTATTTGTAAGTCTCACCAAGCGAGATTCCATTATGAATTTGAAGGTGGTCGGCGAGTCTATACCTCCAGCCAGACGGTTGAGCAGGATCAGATCGGAGAGTGTGGCCTAAACTTCGTGATAGTGATTCATACGTACCCTCTTTACAAACTACGTACAGTACGATTGGCCACGTTTTTAAAAAAGCTTTACAATTGTTACACTGACATATATAGTACTACGACTAATGACTTTAATTTCAATTAGTAAAACTAATTAGGAAAGTTAGCTACGTATGTCAGCTTTTTTTTTAATTTGATCTTTTGTTTTACTATTATTCGTGTGTCCGAGTACTTTAAATTTCATTTTTATACCCAAATATACATGACCTATATGAAGTAAATAGACGAATAATGCTGCAGTAACAGCGAGGTAATCACTTAGTCACATTATGTCGGCTTTCCAAGTCACTCTGTCGAGTAAGTCTAGCAGCATTGAACATATCATCAGAAGAGAAGTGTCCTCATGAAGTGGAGATAGACTCATAGGTATATATATATATAGACTAGGTGTATATTGCCATGAATATTATCTGAATGAACTACTTGGAGAGGGGGGAGGCGGAGGACGGACGTAGTACAAGTTTTTTTTTTAAAGGGGGGGGGGGGAAGGTCTTGACTAAAGAAAGTGTAAGACTGACCTGCAGATAACCAGAATGAATTCAGTAGAATGCTCTATATATAAAGCAAAAGCATTTGTTCATTTAATTGGTTTCATTTTATAAGAAAATGAACTTTCATAATTTTTTTTTAAATTCTTATGACTGTGTTGACGATCATATGTAGGTGTAGATCTACATGACTTAAATTACGATAGATTTGTTAATATGTAGGTGTAGATCTAGGTACCTTGAATTACAATTGATTTGTATGTATACTTGCTTTGTATTTGAAAATATTAAAAATATTCCATTCCTCGTCATCGTCCCATTCCCATGGTTTCCTATTATATGCTTTATGTTCCATGGTGTCCTTGTTTCCTATTATATGCTTTATGTTCCATGGTGTCCTTGTTTCCTATTATATGCTTTATGTTCCATGGTTTCCTTGTTTCCTATTATATGCTTTATGTTCCATGGTTTCCTTGTTTCCTATTATATGCTTTATGTTCCATGGTTTCCTTGTTTCCTATTATATGCTTTATGTTCCATGGTTTCCTATTATATGCTTTATGCTAATAGTTATTTAATCAAACAAAAACAGTGGGCATATTTGACTGGTAAGAAACCAGATTTAGAAAAAGTTTTTGTTTCTTGAAACTTTGTGTCAAAATGCGTTTAAATGTATTCCTGACCAATGTTGTTGTGTGTTCGGGATCTGATTGGGGATAGAAGCAATGGAGACACAAAAAACCTTTTCATCAGATCTATTATTTCTCTCTAGAACCTGATCTCGCTTTTCCTAAGGTCTCATTCACATCCATCTTGCCATGAGACTATAATCTATCAGAGACTCATAAAGAAAGGCGTGAGTCAGATTAAAGTAAAAGCAACATATTGGTTCTACGCTTATCTGTCATGGAGTTCACCCAAACAAAGGTTCTATCACCATTGGCAATAAGATTTGTCAAATAAATGTTCTACGTTGGCAAAAAGCTCAGTCAAATGAAGGTTCTACATTGAGTCAGTAGAATGAAGGTTATACATTGAATCAGTAGAATGAAGGTTCTACATTGACAATACTCTAACTACTAGTAACTACTAAATATTATCATAATAAATATTCATACACAAATATCATAAGGGAAATTGTAAAAAGGTAAAAAAAAAAAAAAAATCTAAAAAACAAAAGACACAATTGAAATGATTTGAAAACTCACACATAAAAAAGCACATGTTTTAATCTGCAGTTCACTCAGCTACCAACATACATCATCATCATCTATCAACCACATCGCCACCAGACATTAGCTTCATCCTCACAAATCCACAGCATGCTCTACGACATGGGCAGAGCTTTCACTCATTCCCAGCAAGAAATAAATTAACATGTTGAATACAAAACCTTACTATGTTGAGAGGCAGCTTGGAGCTAATGGTGAAACAATGTAACACTCAGAGAGCATTGATGCACATACAATAGATGGAGACACAAAATATTGTCCTAACCATTCATTCATCGACACAACTTAGATGCTTTTAAAATGTTGTGGTGGGCTAGATTTGGCCTCAGAAATTTCACTAAACAAAAGAAGAAAATGGACAAAATTGAAACAAGCATTCAGCTTTGAAAATAACTAACAGATAACATTAAGAACTCAACCTAAATAGGAAAAGACATCTATGATGAAGTCAGGCCAGTTTCTGTAACAAACTCTCTACTATGACAGTTCTATTGGAATGATTGTCATCCTCTATTAAAATTAAAAAAAAACACCCAGGGTTCACCCACGAGTTGAGGACACACTTTAAGACCAAGTGTCAGCCCCAAAGTACATAAGCTGATATCAGGTCATACCAAGTACTCATTCAGTCTTGAAATGTGCTTTGCATTTTGATAATTTGGAAAAAAAATCTTTAAAAATTTGATGAAATAACTTAAAATTGAATATCATTCTAAAGGTTGATTCAAATTGTAATTAGCAATACTTTAGTCATAACTTTCAATTAAAGTTGTATTCATACATCAGAACAGTTCTTTTAGAACACACTAAGACAGTATATATAAATAGCATCATTTTAAAAGAATAATGCAATAGGTCACTCACCACAAGTATGTAAGGAACAAGATTGAGAGAATAATGGGCAAAGGGAGGTAATTCATTAAAAGGATAAAGTTTATTTTATTTTAGATTTTCTATTCTCCATAACATTAGGAAACAGTGGTTTAGATATTTCAACCAATAGTATTATGATCATAGATGTAACATGAAGGCTGCAAAAAATCAAGTAATATACTCTATTGAGTTTGATGGATCAAAATTATGGTTAGAAACCCTGAAACTGTAGCCTTCATAGGGAAGGAATCACTTTTATAATCTTAGTTCTATGTACTAATAGGGATCATGCAATAATAAGGCCAGCCACCACACACAGTGCACACAGGCCTAACAAGTAGAGAGCAAGTAACTTCACAGCTAGACTATATCACTGAGCCAACACAAACGTTAAGCCCCACTGGCAGGGCAGAAGTAAAAAAAAAAAAAAAGTTTTACTTCATTTAGTTTCACAGATTTTGAAGAGCCAAAAAAATTTTTTTTATAAAAGCAAACACAAGTTTGTAAGTATTGATATCGACAACCATATTAAACATTATTGTATGCCACACACAAAAGCAAATTTTTAAAAATCTTAAAGGCATCATGAGAAAATAATGATTGAATTTTGAGTTTGAGAAAAAGAAAATTACTTTTTATTTAAATCAAACTTTGTAGCATGGTCAAGTTTGTGACAGAGGAGTGAAATTTAAACCTGAATGTCTCAGGTTTAGACGCTAATCATTTTTGGAGGTTGGAAAGATGAAATTATTCCCTTCCCTCTTAAATAAAAAAAAATTAGATTTTATTTTTAAATGCAATCCTAAAAGTCTTTTTAAATTCCTATTCATTAAAAACATCTTTCCTTAGAATAATTTTGTCATGTGAGAATGTCCCCAAGCTTTACATGCATGTAAAATCTTTTGTGTGGTCAGTCCAGCTAACTGGTCTGAGGTTCACAACTATAAGGATTCAATGGCAATGTCATGCAACTCAGTGTTGCCCAACTGTTTATGGCCTATAGGCTAAATAACCTTTCAACACCTCACAGGCCACATCTAACAATGAATCCAATCAAACCAATTTTTTGCAGCTTCATTAAACATTGTGTGAGGGGAAGCTTTGAAAGGCTAGATAAGACCCCAGGGTCACAGTTTGGGCAACACTGATGTAAGTCAATCTATAAAGCATCGCAGAAAGTATTGGCAGGCACATAATAACAAAAAAAAAAGATTGTATTTAAACTGCAAGCAATATAACATTGCTTGAATTATCTTTTTTTAAAGTTCACTATAAAAAGACTTAGAAAAAAAAAATGGATATGTTTCAAGTCAGAATGTAATCAAAACTTCACAAAGATGGGAGGAAATCATTTGATATATATAAAAAAAAGGATTTTTTACATACCAGTGAAATTTATTACATGTAAACTGAGATAATAAACATACAAATATATTGTTTCACATTAACCCTGTGTAGGTTTGATTGTATACAGTGTAGATAAGTAAAGGTCCCTAAGACTACCACTGTAATGTTTTATACATATACCGGTAAGACAAAAAAAAAAAAAAACAAGTAGACAAATCATCACAAGTATAAATAAATAGAAAGACACAAAAGGTCAGCAAGTTACCTCCCTGTGAAGGGCAGACTTCTAGGTGGCTACTACTTTAGTGACCAGACTAGCACACACTTGTTTCAACTCATCTCACAGACAGGCTCTTTTTAAACATTATTTTCAAGCAAATGGACAATATATTTACTACAGATAATAGGATGCAATGGAAGTATGAAACCTGATACATTTTGTTCTTCAAATTCTTTGTCACTAGCAAGGAAACAGTTCTTTGTCAAATTTTGAAAAATAGTTTGAAACAAAATTGATAGTTTAGAGGTTGTTTTTTTTTTTTTCAATCTTAAAATTGCTTTTATTTTAACATTACTTTTTAAATATATATGAGCTAATGAATAATATGTAAAATGGCATCATAAATCTAGCCTAACATAAATAGAGGTTAGGTATTATGTAAATATATGCATCCATTGTTATCACATGTAATATGAATGACCAAAGGTCTATATTAACAGGATTATCCATACTAACATTTATAATTTAAAGAAGACAGGCCTACACCCCAAAACACCATAAAGCAAAAACTAAAAACAGGCCTGGCACTAACTAGAAAATGTTCAGAGTTTATAAATTTTGCATGTCTCACAAATCTGATCTACAGAACATGAAACTCTTCTTTGCAGAAAGGAGAATTAGTAAGGCAATGCCCAAAACAGATTATGTCATTTCTGCAACAAAGTGATAAACTTCTGCTGCCCTGAGGGCAAGGAGAGTCACAGGGGCATAGACTCGACCTCTTTAGGTGCCCCTGCTTTTGGACATTCTACATTATAACAGGAGATTATGGCATAATATTTAATGTCAAAACAAATTTTGGACACTCGTTCGGGGGCCTGCCTCAGGTGAGACCTAAAAATAAACACTTCAAAAGAGTAAATATAATGTCTAGCTTGAGAGTTTTAATTAGAACATTTAAAAAAAATAAATATGACATTGATATTTATTACTCTCTACAACCTACTAAATTGTGACAATTAGTATATCTATTAACCCATTGACAATGTTATCAACCCATCCTATTTATGTTTAGGATCAAATAAAAGTTATATGATTCTGAGCATAACAACATAGGTTTCAGAAGGACGTAATACAATGTATTGATTTGTATGAAGTAACTTCTAAGGAAACTTTGGAAAGACATTGAAATATTTAAAGATGAACTTTTTAAACTACTGTAACTTATCCTGGATATGAGCCAAAGGCGGTCTTCTTTGGTAAGCTTAAAGGAGGATGGAGTAACAGAGGTGCCCCCAATAAGTGCTTTAAAAATTAACTCGGTCGCTATTTGACCCTCACTGGCATAGAGGAAAGTAACTGGCAGCAGACGGCCTACGACAGAGAAAGGTGAAGCGCTCCCACAAAGGCTGCGGGGCAAATATTTGAGACTCAAAGAAAAGCCATTATTGAAGACAGGCACAGAAGATAAAAGGAAAACTGAAATAGACCACCAGCAGACAATGGCTTTGTCTGCACAAGCATGGGAAAATATGCAGGTCCCAACTGGGTCTGCATAGTCATGTGAAACAGTGCATGCATCCTTTACCTTCAGAATCGAAGACACAGCCATTATAACTTAAGAGGGCATGCTCACACTATCAATGAAATCAGATTAAGTTCCTCCCTAAGAACCAGCCTGCAACAAGGTAGCTAAATTCTGAACAATCTTAGTAGGACAACACAACACTCTTTTCAAACCTGTAGGAGACATATCCTCAATAACATACTTCTTGAAGCAAGCTGATGAGAACAACATGAAAAAAAAAAAAAAGAATAAAACTCACTGCCATGTGGGTAAGTTTAAAAACTCAGAAATTCAACAAATTAGTTTATTGTGCTAAACCCTTTATATACACATTGATTTATTTTTTTGGGGGTCATGAGACGCTCCTAGAAAAAAAAAAAAAGGCAGTTTTTTTTAATTTTACTTCAAGGGAGCAGTATTTAAGCCAACTTTTATTTTTAGGATGATCTACAAAAAGGTAAAAAAAAAATTGTTACAAAAGCCTTTGATACAACAGTAAAAACTTTTTTCCATTCATAAGTAATGGGAAAAAAAAATTGGATTTATATTTTTGTAATATTTGTAATTCAATTGATAGGATACAAGGCATATCCAATATTTACACACAAACCCAACACAGAACTTCTACTGTTAACAATAGAAAACAAAGTAAAAACAAAAGAGAAAAAAAAAAAACAGTGCTGGTAGCAGACTGAAAACCCTTATTGAAGTGCCAGAAGACAAATTCAATGTAAAAAAACTGTTATAAAATGTACAATATTAACAATTAGCAATGTCTTGATATGCATCAACATTCCTGCGATAATCTATTGTGACTGAAAGCCAAAAATTGGTCAAGGCAAGTTGGTCGAATAGAAAAACGGAAATATTTTGTTCTGCATTTGACTTGAGACTTGATATAATAATAATATACGTCACAAATCCATATAATTCACATTTCCTTTTTTTTTTCTTTATATGTCTGTGTTTATTAATCTTTTCTATCCTTATAGTCTTTTATGCATCTGATGTGTATCCAGCATTAAGAAATGTTAAAATATAACCCTTCACTATGAAGCCAATGAGAATGTATATTATAACATTGTCCTGATAAATGTAGCTAGTGGCCCCAGGCATCACCATGTTTGGAAATGTTACACAAAAAAATAAATACATTGTAACAGCAAATGCAGAGATGGCCATGGCAACAGAGCTCACAGTTTCCTCCTAAGTTTTTAGATAACCCTTTCTTTCAATGACTAGGTGTTAGTGCATCATTCTGGAGAAGGAAAAAAAATTAATTGATTGAACAGCAACTATTAGAAATCTATCTTATTAAATACTATGTTTAACTCATTACTAAAAAAAAAAAAAAAAAAAAAAAAAAGATTTTCTAGGAAAAACAAATATCTTCTCCAGAAGATTCAGTGAGTAAATATTTGCAACAAGAATCTAAAATATGAAATATAATTCTATCTTATAAAATACAAATGTTCCTTCAAAAATAAAGATGATTACGTCCTACGCGTCATGCAACTACTCATGCATGTCAACCAATGACTTAAATTCTGCCAAATCTTTGGTTTTCCTGGCTGGCTCAGGCAACCAATTACATGCTCTAACAGAACTAGGGAAGAAGGAGCATTTGTACAAATATGTCTAGCATATGGAACGAGGAATGTGCCCTTATCTTTGTGTCTTTCTGAGTATTTTATTAGGTTTTGTTTTTGTATTTGAAGATTATGTTTCAGTGTTTTATGTATAATTGCTACTTAACTTTTAAGTCTTCTATCCTTAAGGCTTTCTAAATTTAGTGATTTTACTAAAGGTGTTACTCTAGTCAAATGTGAATTTCGTTATGAATCTCACTGTTCTATTTTGTGTCTGTTCCAGTTTTTTAATGTTTTCTTGAGTTGAGGGGTTTGATCATTCTTCTACATCAACAAATAAAATTACAAAATGTGAACCAGAACAATATGACAAAAAAATTAGATGATGAACTTGGTAGTTTTTGTAAATGGTATGTTTTAGTTTGAAACATGCCAGATGTTTGTAAGAAGATAAAAGCCTAGCAAAATTAGAACAATCTCTATGAAAGTTCACATTGAAGTTAACAAGCACACAAGACAGGGACACATTTTCAGAACAGTATTCAAATAGTCACAACTCAACAACTCAATGAAGCATAATCACATCTTGATAGGATAAGCAGCACTTTTCAAATAAAGGTTACGCCACCAGAAATAAGAAAAGGGACGCTATGTGGAGAACAAAGACGCGCAATATAGAATCTAAATTCTTCAGTCTATCAGATTTCATAGGGTTAAGATGTAATACTTTTGAGTTAGAATCTAGTGGTTAATTTGAACGTTTCATATTTATTACAGTTTACTTTAATAATTACTGTATAATATATTTTGTGATTTAAAGTTTCTGTATTAAAGTTCTGTATTTGAATTAAAGGATCTTCACTTATTCAATCTGCTAGATAATATTAGATCTAGAGATATAGAATCCCCTGCACGCCACAGTAATTCATCGTATCAGCTGACATCTTCAAGTAAAGTTTATTTCAGCTTATCAGCTGACAACTTCAAGTAATGTCTACTATCTTAGCAACTCTTAGCATCATCGACGAATTAGCACTTCTTCAACACCTAAATCAATTAGAAGAGAGTTCGCAACATATTTAAATATATTCAAAGCAAGATAAACCTGTGACACTAGCAAATGGTCTAGTGGTTTGTTAGCTTGGTACTGGGTGTCAAATTGGTGGGTCAGTGGTTCATGCTCTGGGCAGGACTGTTCCTTATTTTGCCAAATTTAATTCACCATTTAGTCTCATTAAAAAATTTGGTCCCCTAGTGCTGCCTTTAAATATAATATGTAATTTGCATGCATCAATCACTCTAGCAAATATGGATTCTTTGATACATCACAAAAAACTTTTCCAATCTTACTAGATCTAGTCACTTCAACAAATATGTTTAAATATAAAAAAAAACTTTTTTTCCAATTTTACTTGATACTAATCACTTGATGCATTCAACTACTATAAATAAGCCTGAACTAATCTTGGCATTTTAAAGTGATTAAGTGAAAGGATGCCATACCTCCTTGGATTTGAGCAGGTCACTCCACCCCATGAGCAAATATCATGACTAGCCCAGGCTCTATGATGAGGTCTTCTGGCATGTGCTGGTTCTCACAGTACATCACCACCACAGCTTGCTTCCCTGAAGTACAAATGAACTCATCAAAACCTAATAGAGAGTGGGCTTGTCTCACTTCTGCTCAGTTTGCAGACGCGACTTCAGCTATCAGCTTGGTTATTCTTATCTCTAGCCAATTTAACCACTTCAGAAAACATTGTTTCATTTAAGAAAATAACAATTGTACAGTTTCTCTAATGGACTCCTAGGATAAGAATTTTTTTG